TGGAGGGTACTTATTCAATAGGAACATGATTCTTATCTGTTCTAGTTCGCGACTGAGATCTTCTGAATGAGAGCATATACGTGTTGCCCGTAGGGCTGCTGTGTATGGTATATTTTTGATGATATGAAGAGGATGTGATGAGTGGAACGGTAATACATATGGTTGTGCAGCTAGTTTCCTGAATACGGTGGTTCGAAAATTGGGGACTTCAATTGTCACTTTTACATCAAGATATTCGACCGTTTTTCCCCCTTCCCATGTAATTTGTAAGTTGACGTCTGTTTTTCCTAGCTCTATCAAAGTGCGTTCTATATGTTCTGGTGGTGATCTGCTGGTCAGAAAACAATCGTCTCTAAATCGAAAATAGAGTTCTCCTTGTTGTTGCTGCTGTTTCATAAATGCACTTTCCCATTTCCTTACATAAATATCAGCAAGTACCTGCGTACATGACGATCCCATCGCTCCTCCCCTGATTTGCTTGTAGAACTTGGGTTCGAGACCTGGGAGTTGAAGCACGAAATATGCATTTTCTAACACGTGTAGAAAGAGTGATTTTATTGTATTTATCGATAATCCTTGAACTTTTTTATATCCATGTCTACCTAGGAATTCGCAGATGGTCAGTACAGCTTCCTTCTGAGGGATCATAGTGTAGAGATCCGTGATATCAAATGTATACATATTTGTCTCTGTTGTTGTTGTGTAATCTTTCAAATGCTTGAGGAGGATTATTGAGTTGGACAGTGCGTAAGGTGTATGTCTGTCGAAAAGAGGACGGATACTTTTGTCCAGAAAACTAGATATTTTTGCCAGCGGTGATTTTATTCCGCTTACTATAGGTCTTAGTGGCTCCTCGATTTTGTGATCTTTCGGATTGTAATAGAGATGTGGTAATTCAGATTCTGTAGGCAATGGTCTTAGTTTTTCCATCATAGCTTGAGGCATCTGTTTTTTTGAAACCAAATTCCGTAAAAATCTATCTGTTTTTTCTATCATGTCTCTCAGTGGGGATGCCGGTATTTCAACATATGCATTCGTTTTTGCCATGTATGTTGCCGACTTTTCTATATAATTTTCTCGAGTATCTGTGTGGAACACTTTCGATTTGTCTGTTTGTCTAAATATAACTCTATTTTGTTTTTGAACTTTTCGAAAAAATGCCATAGTCGGCTCTACCGTCGGATCCCTTGGTTTCTCTGTTGCTATAGTTTTTTTAATTTCCTCTTCTATTCGTTCACAAAACCTTTTTACTGTTGGTGGTTCTCGTCCTATAGTTTTAGTTTTTCTTCTCCATGCCTCTGAAACTTTTTCTTTCATTTTTTCTATTTCTTTTGGGAGACGTTCTAAAACTTGGTGTGGTGCTGGTGGTACAAATTTTGGTCCTAGATTAAGTATTCTAGCTTCTGCATCTTGCAGAATAAGCGCCTTATTGTTTGCTTGAGGTGGAAAATTTATTCTACTGAAATGTGGGTGTAGTTTCGCTGTAGGATGTCCTGGATGGTGTCGAGATAGGGCGTGCACTAGTATTCGTTCATTGTGCACGCCCTTTTTGCTAAAAAATTTAGTTTCTTTGTTGCGAATTGATTATGTCTTGTACGTGCTACATGACATAGAGTATCATATGATTCTCGAAGATTATCTGAAAGTTTTTTTAACAACTCTTCATACTCTTTGTTTGCTTCTTCTAATTCTACTACTTTTGCTTGTCTCATCAGTATAGTTAGATCTAATTTGGCCTTTCGAAGTACATTTTTCCATTGTTCTCGAAGTGATTTTAAATGATTATTATCTGATTTAAGTCCTTTTGCATATAATTCTAATTTATCGAAAACATTAAGAGATGGTGGTGGCATATTCTCTACAAATCTCTTCTCTAATTTATCTAATTGCAGTTTGAGATCTAATGTTCTCATGAATTTTTCATGCAAATTCCGTAAATATTGTTGTTCTGATTCCGTTCCTACTTGTTTAATTTTAAGTGCAGCTTTTTCTCTTATTTGATCTAATAGAAGATTGTCTAGTCTTTTTCGATCTGTATTCTTTTTACTTTCAAGTGATTTTTCAATAATAGTCGTTACCAAATCAATTATTTGTTTTCTTATCTGTGTAGCAAATGAGGAACGTAATTTTTCCTCTCTCTCATTTTCTAGTGTTTTATATTTGCTTTCGAGAAATTCTTGATGAACTTTTATCGTTTCAAATGTACACTTCTGTCTCATTTGTTTGAAATAATATTTACATTCGATGGGGATAATTGCAAAAGTAAATGCATCATGTGCTGTTACAGTATTTTTTGGTATGACTGATGGTGATCTAATTATTGGTTCTGGTGTAGAACTTTGTATAGGTGATATCATTATTGATAATTCTTTTGCTATTCTTATTTCATCTGGTAATCGTATTTGTTGTTCATTTTCTTTTTTTCTCTCAAGAGGAAGAAGTGAATTGAATGAATGTTGTTTTTTATGATTATTTTCTGTATTTGAAATTGGAGATGTCTGAAGAGATCCTCCAGCTAATGGTACATTAGGATTTCTCGGTGGTAATGTCTTTCTCGGAATAATTGGAGGAGGTTGTCGTGGAGATGGTGGTGTGGGTGGATCATCTCGTCGATGTCCCAATTTTCGTTTTTGTCCTGGTGTCGGTTCTGGTAACCATTCATCAAAAATTTCAGCAAATTCAGTTAGATCTAATGATGTTGGTGGTCTTGCTAGACCTGTTGGTGACGGTCTAGCTACTGGTAAACTATCATTAACTTCCATTATGGTATCCATTTGTTCAATGGATCGTTTCTTATTTTTGTTTGCCGCAATCATATAAATTTTCCATTTTTCAGATTCTGACTTGAAATATTCCGTTTGATAATGTATGCTACTCAAATGGAAAATATCTTCTTTTTGATTTTCTAATTCTTCAGGTATTATAATTTTTCGAAAGAATTCTTCTTTGTGTCTCAAAAAATGTGGATAATGTGGAATGAATGACTTACCTGATAAGTTATGTAATTTTTCTTTTGATATATGTTGGTTATTACAATTTTTTCTTTTATAATTATTTCGTTCTTGTGTATTACGCGTACTTGGTTGTTTCATTTCATTATTCGTATAATAATAATTATTATTAGTTTTATTATTTTGACGACTATTATTGTTATTATTATTATTATTACTATTCGTAGTAGTAGTATGATAATGATCATGATTGTTATTGTTACTATGATGATACTGATTATTGTTAGCATTGGTAGTAGTAGTATAATGACGATGGTAATGATGGTGATTATTATTATTATTATTACTATTATTATTAGCAGTAGTAGTATGATGATAATTGTGATTAAGCTGATTAGTATTTATATTTATATTAGACATGGGCTTGATCAAACGACTATTTAATTGTATGGATGATGAATGTATTCTTTCTTGTTTAGAAAACCAATTATATATTGCTCTTTCGATCAGATTACGGCCAGATATTATGGATGGATGTAAGCCATCTTGATGCATATGTTGATGTTGAAGATTAGCATCAATAATTTCGAAGTGCATTTCTTTTGATAATTTATATAGAAGTTGATTAAATATTTGATTACTTTTGTTGATGTCTATAGAATTAAATAATTTCGATGGTTTCCACCTTGGTGAGAGAGCTAACCATCCGATAGCTTTTATTTGAGGGAATAGTATTCGTGTACGTTCAATTAAAAATCGACATTGTTGAAGGGCAGTTTTTGGTCCTAAATTTGCTACATCATTAGTACATAAAGAGAAAACAATAAAATCCGATAAAATTATATTATTTTGATCAATAGATTGTTTCTCTAAATAATTGAGCATTCGGCCGCAATCACAGCCAGATTCAAATGATATTCTTACCTGTACATGATTTAAACTTACTTCTTTTGATCGTACATACTTACACATTGAGTCAGATAATATTAATCCATTAAATTTATTTTTATTTTTAATCATATTATTATCGTTTCTATAACATTCTATTATGGGATCTGCAATTGGTGGATGTTTATCTTTAAATTGTTCAGCATGTTTAATCGTACGACAATTTCGTCGTGATGGTTGTTGAAATGAATTGAGAGACATTAGAGATGGTATATGATTAATATTTAAAGGTAATTTATTAGTTTTCTTTTGATTATTATAATTGTATGTTTGTTTTTGATGTTCAATATTATTAGCAAAACCAGTAATATTTGTATAACCAGAAAAAGTAGTAGTTGAACCAGTTTGAAATTTTCGATAAGGATGGGCATTTTTT